GAGAGAGAGAGAGAGAGAGAGAGAAGTGGGGGGAACTCAGGCGATCAGGCGTATAAATCAGCCGAGGGAAAAAATTCTAAACTGGGACCCAGGCCACAAAGGGGGTGAAATGCTTTGGGTTGGGTCGGGTCTGGCTGGAGGGGGCGGGGGCAGTGAGAGGCATTGGGGGTCAAAGGGCTTGACCTGAGAGGAGCTTTTGTGTATGTGTGAAGAGCCATCTCGGTGACAGAAAGCAGAGGTTGGTGTGTCGGAGGGATGCAGGACGGATCCTGCCTGTCCCCCAGGGCCAATAATGAGGTCTTGGAATTTTAAACGGTGAGGAACTGGAGGAACATTTTTTACCGAGCTGGCCTGAATTCTTTTTCTTTTTTGTGCCTGTATTGGGGTATAAACTCAGGTCTTAGAGGCCCTATCTCTTGGCTTTTTTTTTCCTGCTTAGTTCTACTTCAGGCTTTTTGCTACTTAATTGGACATAAGGGTCTCACAGACTTTCTAGCCCTGGCTGGCTTTGAACCATGATCCTCAGATCTCAGTAGCTGGGATTTCAGGTGTGAGCTACCAGCCCCAGTCTGGTCTGAATTCTTTTTTCTTTGCTTTTTTTTTTTTTCTTGACAGTCCTGGCGCTAGAATTCTAGGGCCTGGGCTCTGCCCGTAAGCCTGTTTTGCTCAAGGCTAGCACTCTACCACTTGAGTTACAGTGCCATTTCCAGCTTTTTCTGTGTATGTGGTACTGAGGAATTGAACCTTGGGGCTTCATGCATGCTAGACAAGCGCTCTACCACTAAGCCACATTCCCAGCCCAGACCTGAATTCTTTAAAAAAATAAAAAAGCCTGTGACAGTGGCTTACTCCTGTAATCCTAGCTACTTAGGAGGTTGAGATCTGAGGATCACAGTTCAAAGCCAGCCCGGGCAGGAAAGTCTGTGAGGCTCTTTATCTCCAATTAACCACCAGAAAACAGGAAGTGGTGCTGTGGCTCAAGTGGGTAGAGTATTTGCCTTGAGCTGAAGAGCTCAGGGACAGCACCCAGGCCCATAATTCAAGCCCCACAACGACTTAAAAAAAAAAAAAAGAAAGTCATAGCTAAAGGCCACATACTGCTTGATACTGGAATTGGGGATAAGAAAGAAACTGTTTCAAAGGTCTTGGGGCAATTGTGGAAATCAGGGAGTAGACTGGAGATTAGCCCTTAGCATTGTTGATAGTATATTCCACGAAGTCATACTGGTATGATTATGTAAGATGCTGTTTTTTTTCTAGACAATTTCTTGAGCTGTTGCCTGGGTCTAGTGAGATTACAGGTGTGAGCCACCATACCTGCCTTGTTTGCTGAGATTGGGGGGGGGTCTCTATATAATTTTTCATTTTTTGCTCAGGCTGGTCTCCAAATCATACTCCTTCAGCTCTCTGCCTCCCAAGTAACTGGAATTATAGGTGTGAGCTGCTATGCCAGTCCCTTCCTTGTTTCCCCAGGAAGAATGTTGAAGCAATTCCTGGTAAGGGAATTTTCCTTTGGGGAAAGATCTGGCAAGGAGGAATAAAAGAGTATCAACAATTTAGATCATCAATTTGTATGTGTGTGAGAGACCAGCTACACTTTAGATAATACCGTGTAGCACTGAAAGAAAATCGTTCACTGCAATCTGGGCCTGGTGAGAATCACAAGCTAGTAGTTCATTGTGTTATATGTGTCAAGATTTTG